ATTGCCAGCAGGGTCGGTCCTGAAATTTAAAGGGTCTTAGATGAATTTGAAATATTTAAACTAATTTTTCATTATAAATTTGGAGGCATAAAAAAATATTTTTTCAAGATCTTTATCAATATGATGTTTTTCAAAAAATTTAGAGGTTTAAAGCGAATGTTTCGTTAGGCTTGGCTCATGAATGGCCTTGATTACCAGCTTTGTGGAAGAATGTAGTGGGAAGATATATCTTCACTGGAGTGACTCGGACCAACGAGATTGTGTTGTCGTCGTACTATCCAGTCCATCCTTTCTATCTTTTCTACTTACGTACCAAGAGGAGCACTGTTTTCGTAAGATATGTTCAAATCCAAGGAATGGATGCGTCTGACTATGGAATGCATCATTACATCGTTTTTGACCATGTGGAGGATGTGAAGCTCTTTGATCATTAGGTACTTTGTAACTTAAAAGACTTTGTTTAGTTTTTAGATTCTTATCAGTTAATCATTATACATTATACAATCTTAATGTATGCGCGATTAATTAATTTCATTTTTTATTTGTTTATTTTTTGGATGTGGATATTTTCTAATCCACTCTTTTTTTAACTCTTTAGAGTGATCAACGATTGTTCTAACTTATGATTTTATTTGCTAATGGAAAAAGTATAATTAAGTGTTAAGTTGTGTGTGAATCATATAACTAAGCAAAATCAATAGTCTCTATTATGGAATACATTTGATTATCGTAATTCGTTTAATGAATTGTGTACTGGAAAATAATTTGATTTTAGGTGAAAAGAGTTATTGGCGGATCAGATGAGATGAAACGGTATATTTTGCAAAATACGCAGTTTTAGAGTTAGTTTACAGATAGAAGTTTTTTGGTTTTCCTGGCCCAAAGTGATATACATCCGATGTTACTTGGAAATTTCTCATTGGCCCTAACTGGCTTGTGTAGCATATATAAGTAAGACTGGTTAAGGAAATAAAGGAGAAGTGATTTATCTACTCTTTAAAAAAAAATATTATCTACTTCAAATAGTTAAAATAAATAAAAAGGATGTATCCAAGTAAAACAAGTTGTTTTAGAAAACTACTAATGAATAATTTCTTTTGTTAATCTTCTTTTCTAAAATTAAAATATCAATGCTGAAAGAACTCAAGGAGAAAAAAGAGATGGGAAACAATGGAAGAAGTAAAGAGATATGTACAACATATATGACGAATAATTTTACATACACTAAAATGTTGTGCCATCAGCAGCAATGTCTGAAATGGTCCACAAGAACACATATGCAAAAGCTTACTTAGTTCATTACAATTAATCACATTCGTTATATGTCTTTAAAAAGGATCAATTTACTTTGTGGTACTAGTATGCAGAACTATAGTCGGAGTGGGAAGGCTTCATACTGATACTGGTGATGCTGCTCTTTTTGTCTAGACGGCTTAGAGGACAAACTTGGTAATAAAATTTGAGCGCTAGCTATTAAGCTTCGATGGTCGATGTTATCTAGTATAGGGTTAAATTTTGGTTTCAGATGAGTGTTCCAACTCGGATTTAGAGAACAATCTTTGAGCAGACCTTGTGCCTCTTGATAGGATTGGTTATGTATTCGGATGGCATGATGAATCAACCTTTTACTCGCTTTTTTTATCGTTTTTCACTTTGGCTTCAGATTTCTTTGTGTACTAGTCTCGGTTTGATTTCTCATTTTGGTATTTGAAGAATGTATCACCAGTGGCAGAGCCAGCTAGACTTTCTAGAGGGGTTAATTATATAATAAGCATATAACATATAGGTCAATCAATTAAACTGTAACATTTTGAAGTTATTAACTTCAAAATACATGTAAATTTGTTTTTTCTCAATAAATCCACGTGGGTCATTTGACACCCCTTACAACAAGCTACCTCGCTACTAGCAGTCTTGTACATAAAACACAACCAAGTTAAACAGTTAAAATGCTTGTTTTTTTTTGTAAATGAGTATTGCTTATTTTTGCTTCTATGTTTTAAATTTTTTTATCATGTAATCGCACTCTATAAAACTCTAATGTTCATTTTATTCACATTTTTAACATAACAAAGAAAACTATACTCGGTGCCATGCTCAAAATAATTCCTGCATAGTCTTCAATCAAGTAAGATTTGCATGGAAATGATTTTTTAGATCCTTAAAATTAAATATTTCATTCATGACCTAATCCCAACACGATCGATATTTGTGTAAAAAAATTCGATAAGACAAATAAAAAAGTAGTTAAACCGCTGTTTTAGTTTTCTTTTCGCTTCACCAACAAAAGGAAATTAATAAGCTGAGGAGCACTTCACAAATGATCTCACAAACCAGAAGTAGCCAATATTTTTTTCTTTGTATTCTTCGATTTGTAAGTTTAGACAGTACATATAATTAAAGAGCAAAAAAAATAACTTTCATAAAAACGGACTAGCGGAATGTGAGGAATTTAGTGGGCGGACGAAACTAAGTTTGTAATAGTTTGATTTTGGAAATTTTGTTTAAAACATGTTTGTAACCGGATCTAAATTTCTCGATTCTCGGGTTGAATCAATATATTTAAATTTAGAAAAAATATTGATAATAATAATAATAATAATAAAACCTTCATAAGTGATAATATATATTACGTACGCCCACTTAGGGCAAAATAATATTTTGATAAGGAACCAAACAGTCGAATTAAGGTCTACTAGGTGTTTTGCCCGCACTTGCGGGCATAATTCTCTTATGAATATTTATTAGTTGATGTTTCATTAATTTAATACTTATATTTTTAAAAAGAACAAATCAAATATTTTTTAAAAATATTTCTAAAGTTATTTTGCTTGATTTATATTAGATTATAATATTTATACAAAATTTTACTTAATTTATATTTAATTATAATTTGTATTTTAATTTTAAATTTTATAATAGAAAAAATATTTTTAAAATAACAATATAATGCATAATCTATTTATTTTCTAAAAATATAGTATGATAAATTCGTTTTAATTATATAATGATTATATAAAATTATAGAAATGATGACATATAATTAAAATTATTTAAAATCATGGACAACTTAACAAATCAGCAAATTCACTTCTTAAATAATTTTGCTTGAGTGATGATTTATATTTAATTAATAATTGATAATTTCTATTTTACTTTTAAATTATATAATATAAAATATACTTTTGAGATGAAAACATAATGAATTACCTTATTTTCTAAAATTATAATATTATTAGTGTAAATTTATTTTAATTATAGAATAACTACAACTTTATATATCTTAATTTTAAATTTCTAATAGAAAAATATATTTTCAAGACAACAACATAATATATAAGAAGTATCTTATTTTCTAAAAATCTGATACTATTACTATAATTTTTTATAATATAAAATAAATTATATAAAAAACTATAGAAATTATGATAAATTATAAAAGTTACCTAAAATCATGGAAAATATGACAAATCAGCAACATCAAATTCACTTGTTAAATAATAGTATAGATTATTTACATGTTAATTTTAAATTTTATAATAAAAATATATTTTCAAGATAATAACATAATACATAAGAATTAACTTATTTTCTAAAATAACATATTATTAATATAAATTAGTTTTAATTATATAATCAATAATATAATTTTTTTAAAAAAATTATGATAAATGCTCAAAATTATCTAGGATCATGGAGAAGTTGACAAATCAACAAATTCACTTTTCAAATAATTGTTTTGATGATTTATATTTAATTATTATCTTATTTTAGAAAATGTAAAATTATTAATATAAATTCTTTTTAGTTATATAATAAATACTAAAAATTTAAGTTTTATATATGAAAATATAGTTCAAGATAACAACATAATTCACAAGAATTAACTTATTTTCTAAAAATATAATATATTCATATAAATTTGTTTTATTTATAAATAAATTATAGATAAATATTAAAATATGAGAAATAAAGAAAATTACCTAAACTTAAGGAGAATATGACAACTAAACAAAATTACTTCTTAAATACTAGTATAGATTTGACCTAAAATAAAGTTAGGTTATGTCATATTTTCTTCTATTTGGTTTGATATTATATACCACACTCACGGATTGTAACTTGTTATATGTATACAATATTATTAAATTAAAGGTACTGCTGTAAGTCAAAACGTACCACTTGCATATAGTATATATCTTTGACACCACTTATAGTGCATGTAATAGTAAATTCAAGTAGAACTTCATTGCATGAAAGAAGGAACAAAAACAAGACAAATAATTAAATTAATTTCGTGATACGGTTAACCAAAGAGAATATGCGAAAAGCTTTATTTGCTTAGGACCGACCATCCACTTTTCATATGTGTTTACTTGATGCGAAATCGTGTATGTGCACGCATGCAATTAACACAAACACGCACGCACACGTATCTTTGGTATCACTTTATTAGTGGCTAGTGCATGCATGTTATACTAATTTCATTCCATTGGTTTATTAAATAGATGCGTGTATGTGACTATGATAGCACTGGATACAAGTGAGCTAGTTAGGGTTTGATACGTAAAACTCTTCAACTGTCTTTTATATGTGCAAATTTTATGAATTGAAACTTCTTATAGCTTATGACATTAAATGTACAATTATGTACGTAGGTGTCAACATCAGTACGTACCAGTGCGATGACGACTCTGTAACTTTATAATTAGGCCACCCCATAGCCAAGTGGGAGAGAGTGATTAATACTATAAATAAATAGATAACGAATAATATTATTTCGCCACTTAACATGGTTTCAAAAACATCGAACGTCAACTATTTGGCACCCTTACAATTTCTCTATATATATATATATGTAACACCCCAAATGTCTCAGCAAACAAACCACAAACGTTTCTTGACCAAAACATTATGATTTAGATTCTTGAGTCTAGGGTTTAAGGTTTAGGTTTTCCGTATAGTCTAGGGTTTAAGGTTTAGGTTTTCTGAATAATAATATGGAAACAAAAGTAGAAGCAGGGAAGCTAGAGTGGAGGATAAGTGTTGACAATGAGACAACAGAGAGACTAGTTCCTAAATTAGGACCTAGTAAGATATTTTTTCTCTGGCTAAAGGGTTTGGTAATGAAGGTGGTCATGGAGCCAATCACTAAGTTTATGATGAAGGCTTGGAGGATTGGAGCAGATGATCCGGCCAAAGTGGTTCACTGTCTGAAAGTAGGACTTGCACTTTCACTAGTCTCAATCTTCTATTACATGAGACCTTTGTATGATGGAGTTGGAGGAAATGCTATGTGGGCTATCATGACTGTTGTAGTCGTCTTCGAGTCCAATGTTGGTATATATAAACCAAACCCTAAACCAAAAAGTTTTCAACACTCTTCTTCTTACTTAGTTAGTACAATTATATTAACCTATGTATCTCCTCTATGTACAACAGGAGCAACACTCTCCAAATGTGTGAACAGAGTGGTGGCAACTATAGTAGGTGGATCACTAGGCATTGGTGTTCATTGGGTTGCAACTCAATCAGGAAAAGCTGAGATTTTTGTGATTGGATGCTCTGTTTTTCTCTTTGGTAAAACCCTAAAAAGGATATCTCTTTCTTCACTTGCAAGTAACCGAAAAAGGATAGATATTTATTGACTTTGTGGGTTTGATTCTTGGCAGCTTTCGCAGCTACTTACTCGCGGTTTGTGCCGTCATTCAAAGCAAGATTCGACTATGGAGCAATGATCTTTATCCTCACATTTAGCCTTGTCTCAGTAGGCGGTTATAGAGTAGATAAGCTGATTGATATGGCTCAGCAAAGAGTGTCAACTATTGCTATTGGAACATCTATCTGCATTATCATTACTGTCTTCTTATGTCCCATATGGGCAGGATCTCAGCTTCATCGTCTTGTTCAGCTTAATTTTGTAAAACTTGCTGATTCCTTAGACGGTAAGGGAAGAAGAAAAAGAAACTTGTTACACATGAAACCGCATTATCTATCCTCACTGATTATCACTGAAACTGCAGGCTGTGTGGCAGAGTACTTCAAGAAGAGAGACGTCTCGACGAATGAGAATAAAGATGAAGAAACTAACATGACTCTGCAAGGATTCAAATGTGTACTAAACTCTAAGGGAACAGAGGAAGCCATGGTAACTTTAACAAATTATCTTTGAGGATAATGAAAGGTTAAGTTTTACCTTACTGATTTGCAGCCGCTTATGGCTTTGTTTTTAATTTCTTCAGGCCAATCTAGCCAGATGGGAACCTGCACATGGAAGCTTTAGCTTCCGACATCCATGGCAACAATATGTAAAAGTAGGAGCTGCTATGAGGAGATGTGCTTATTGCCTTGAGAATCTTAGTATCTACATGAGCTATGAAGCAGAGGTAACCCTTTCACATGTTATCATAATTTATTGTTATGTGAGGAATGTGACTGAACTTCTAAAAGGGCTTTAGTATTTTCTTTTTTTTTGGGGTCAAAACCTTATGATTTAGAATAAGTACTAGGAAAGGTTCTCTAGGTTTAGATCAATCAAGTATCAGGGGGAGGTGAGGGTCCTCCATTATAAACCTCTCAACGTTCTTGAGTCATTGTAACACAGTTCTAAGATAATATAATTGTAATCTCATATTCCCTTTGCTTATTCTCTGTTTTGATCCAACAAAGATAAGTCACACGTATCATTTAGACGCTGTGAAACTAAAACTAGTGTCTTCTGCTTTCAACAGGCACCAGATCAGGTCAAGCAGCATTTCAGAGAAGCTTGTATGAAACTCAGCGCAGCTTCTTCAAAAATCTTGAGAGAATTAGCGGATATGATGAAGAACTCAAGAAAATCTTCAAAGATGGATTTCCTGGTGTTTGATATGAACTCAGCAGTACAAGAGCTTCAAGAGACTTTAAGAACTATTCCAATCCAAACCAACAAACCTGAAGTAGAAGAAGTTCCATCTGATGAGGACAACAATGGAGACAGTGAAGACAGAACCATACCGATGAGCCTACATGAACTCCTTCCAGTTGCCACTTTGGTCGCTTTGTTAATCGAAAACGCAGCTAGGATTCAAACAACTGTTGAAGCTGTGGATGAACTTGCAAATCTTGCAGATTTCAAACAAGATTCAAAAAAGAAAACCGGAGACAACAACACTAAACAACCCAACCACCACTAAGTTCTTAAACCAAGTTTTCATGTACATATACATAAGCCTTTTAGTATATGGTTTTTAAAGGCAAAAGAAAGTTAATAGAACTAAATCTTGATAATGTTGGAAACCACAATGAAATCTAGAGAATCCTTACATTGTCACCATAGAAAACAAGATCATAGCTAAAGATTGACCAGTCTTTATGTACATGATAGAATCTATGTTCACCTGCAAACGCAGGTGCCAAAAGGCTTTCTTTCACCTTTTCTTGAGTGTTTTAATGCCGAGGTTCAGAGCCAAATCCTCAACAGGAACCTTGATCACATCAGTTCTAACACCAATATCAGTAGCATACCTGCTCATACAATACATCCCAGCAGTAACCGTTGCAACACCAACAGGATTCGGAATCAACAACGTGAGAGGCGAAGAGAGGAGTGCAGCTAAAGGAGCGCCAAGAATGGAGCTGGCTTGACCGCTTCTCCCAACACCGTTCTTATCAAGAATAAGCAAACCCGTCTTGCAGTAGAGAGCAAAGTCTTCGCAGTTGTTTTGGAAGATGTCGTAGTTACCGAACCCGTTTTGGAGAAGGTGCATTGCTCTGTGGACAACTGTTTGAGAGGGATCAGATTGAGCTGTTGTGCAAGTGCCACCGCGGACTCTAGTCAGGAACATCGATGAGCTGACTCCATATTCGAAGCGGTAGAGAGAACCGTTCTTGAGGAAACAGTCAAGGCAAGAAAGTAGCACTCCACTGTTTGGTTGTTTGAATCCACAGTCAGGGTATGTAGGACAAGGAGCTTCTGAAGAAGAATCATTAACCTCTGAAACTGAAGAAGAAGATGAAGAAGAAGCATTTAAGCTTTGCTCAGGTTTGAAATGAACCACCTTAGAACCACCAACAAACACACCTGCCAACAAGTTGAAATGTCAACAAAAGCTATTTGCTGTCACCATAAACATCACTAAGACTGAAAAACAGAGAACCCCTAAAGTCAATAACTTCAGCTAGAGGAAACCCTAACGTTGAAATGTCAACAAAAGCAATCAAAATTCTATTTGCTGTCACCATTAACTATGTAAGTACAAGTAAACATCATAAAAGTCCACAACTTAAGCAAGAGGAAACCCTAATAACCACAAAATTCAAAATCAATTCCACCAAATTAAGATTGAAACCATATAAAAGATCCATCACAATCATAAAGTCAATATAACTTTATCAATCCCCTCTTGAAGAAGATCAATCACAATCATAAAATTCAGTAACTTTGACTAGAGTAAACCCTAATATGAAAAATCCAGAAGCAAACAAGTTGAATTGTCAACAAAATCTATTTGCTGTCACCATTGACTATATAAGTGGCAAGTAAACATCATAAAGCCCACAACTTTGGCAAGAGGAAACCCTAAAAACCACAAAATTCAAAATCAATTTTCACCAAAGATCAGTCACAATCATAAAGTCAATAACTTTAGCAAGACCCACTTGAAGAAAATCAGTAACAATCATAAAAGTCAGTAACTTTTAGCTAAAGGAATGAAAACCCTAATAAACCGCAACAGAGATAAATCAATTTTGACCGTTACCGTGGTGAGAGTAGGCGAAGACAGCTCGGTACGTGTAGATGTGATCACCAGGTTTGAGATCGTCTCTCTCAACTTTATTCGTAATCAGACTCATTGCTTTCATCTCAGAAGCTTTTTTTTTTTTTTTTTTTT